CGCCCTCCTCCAAGAATTTCACACCCAATTTTGATCCAATCTCAACAAAATTTCCTCCCTCTTCCGCCATACTGTCCATTAGGAACCAAGATGAGTTACCCTCCCAGTATCTATATCGCTTTTATTCATCATTCATCGTCGCTTTGGTCTTGCATTCATCATTCATCGTCACTTTGGTCTTTCCTTCATCATTCATCGTCACTTTGGTCATTATTCATCGTCTCTTTGGTCATCATTCATCGTTTCTTTGGTCATCATTCATCGTCTCTTTGGTCATCATTCATCGTCTCTTTGGTCTTTCATTCATCATTCATCGTCACTCTGGTCTTTTATTCATCATTCATCGTCGCACTGGTCTTTCATTCATCATTCATCGTCACTCTGGTCTTTCAGTCGTCATTCATCGTCATTCTGGTGTTTTATTCATCGTCACTCTAGTCATCATTCATCGTCACTCTGGTCATCATTCATCGTCACTCAGGTCATCATTCATCGTCACTCTGGTCATCATTCATCGTCACTCTGGTCTTTGCCAACACCGGTTCATAACAGTGGCATTCTTACTCGGGCTATTTCGGTCTTTAGGGAGACCATAAAAGCTTTTTTTCTCAAGGGTGTTTGGGGGGGGGAGGGGAGGAGGGAGGAGGAGGGAGGGGAGGAGGAGGGAGGGAGGAGGAGGAGGAGGAGGAATAAGGAAAAGGAGGAGAGGGGGAAGAAGGAAAGAGAGAGAGGTTGGTGCAAAGGGGGAGAGAAGAGAGGAGGGAGGGGAGAAAAGGGAAGAGGGAGAAGAAGGGGGAGGAGAGGAAATGATAGAAGTTGTAATGGAGTCTTTGAGAGCGCCAAGAGTTGTGTAAATCTTTGCTCATTTATTCAGGATGTATGTACTGTACAATAGTGTTCTCCCGCAGCACCGGCCAGTGGTGTTGTGTGCGAGAGAGGACTGAGAGGGGACTGAGGAGGGGGACTGAAGAGGGGCTAGTAGTGTGTGTGTGTGTGTGTGTGGTTGGATGGGACTGAGGAGAGGATTGAAGAGGAGCCAGTAGTGTTGTGTGAGATTGGGGACTGAGGGGAGACTGAGGAGAGGACTGAGGAAGCGCCAGTAGTGTTGTGTGCGGTTACAGGGGACTGAAGAGGAGCCAGCAGTATTCAGTGTGGTTGGAGGGGACTGAGGTGGTGTGTTTGGTTGGGAGGCCCCGCCCTATGTACCCATTGGCCGGGCTATCCAGTGAAGCAGCGAATAGGGGTGTATCAGGTCATCTCGTCTCACTGATGGCGAGCGCGTGTGCGTGTGTGTGTGTGTGTGTGTGTGTGTGTGTCATCTTCGTCGTGGTGACACTGACCAATGATATGGACACAATGACACATGGTTTATGTTTGGGAGTGAGTGGAACAATTCAGTGACGAAAAATTCAGACACAATTAAGGTTTGTAAATATCTATTGTATATTGGGAGTCAACGGCTGCTGTTTCTGTCACAACCAGGCTTACTGTTAACGTGTCACAACCAGGCTTACTGTTAACGTGTCACAACCAGGCTTACTGTTAACGTGTCACAACCAGGCTTACTGTTAACGTGTCACAACCAGGCTTACTGTTGCTATGATAAAACCAGGCTTGTCGTTACAGATCTCACAAACAGACCTCACTCAGTTGATCACTGACAGCACAAAAGGAAATTTATGTCAAGTTAGTTCCTGGGATTATCAAAGTGAAGTGGCGTAGCCATGTCGGGTGTTAGCTGGGAGCAGCTCATTGTTGAGTTGGTGTAGGTGAAGGAGAATGTGAGACTGGGAAGTGGCTGGAAGAGTCTGGGATAGACAATGCCGCCGAGCAGTGGAAACTGGTGAAGAGAGGGGGCGACAGGGGTAGTGGTGAAGAAGACAAAGGCAACTAAGTGTTCTAACTCTTTAAGTTGTCTGGGGGAGAAATTAGACAGTAAAAAGGAAATATATAAGGTGAACATTGAAGGTAAGACAACATTATGTGACTCACAGGTGAAGTACACGGATCGTGTCTTATGTAACAAGGATAGAAGCAGCAGGACGAGGGTGTGTTTGTCCGGAGCTGAAGTGGGTGGCAGTTGATGTGATGGACAACGTCAAGTCTGACAATGGGAACAAACCCATAATCTGCCTTAGTACAGGAGCCAACAATAATGGCCAATATAAGAGTGACGAGCTCCTTGGTAAGTTCAAGGCAGCTATATATAGTACAAGTAGGAAGGGAGGGATCCCTGCCATGCGTGGTGTTGTATAGAGAATGGGCAGATATTGCAAATCAGTTGCTGTTCCGTTCGTCAACAAATGGGAAAACTTTTACGGTAAGAGGGACTTATATGCAAGGGATGGGGTGCATTTATCCAGGCAGCCCTGGCTATCTCTCTCGCTCTCGAGAGAGGGCATTTGATAAGATCACAAGGTTTTTAAACTGCTTGGGGAACACAGAAGCATGAGAGTTGGAGGGTAGGGGGGGGAGCTACCTTGGGTGCCAAGAATTTTTCATAAGCGACCATAAATAAAAATTGGTCAGGGAGAGTTAAGCCCAAAACTCGACAGAGGTTAGACTCAAAATAAGCTTAAATATCCAATATCCACTACGTAAATAGTAGAATTATTAGAAATAAGATGCAGTAAATCAGAGCTCTGGTATGCACAGAAAAAATCAATATAAAAGCACTCACAGAATTCTGGATAACTATATATTCGTTCGAGTTAGCTGTAATTTATCAAATTTAGGGATAGAAATTATTTCACACAAATAGGAAGATTAGGAAAGGGGGAAGTGTGGCAGCCTGTCAGGAATAATTTGAAGTGTGGCATCAAATAGGGGAATTAAAACCACATTGATCACAGAAGCAGTTTGGGTACAGCTGGACGAAGGTGGGGGAGAATTTGATTATAGGAGCAATATATAGACAACCAATTCTTAATATGTGTTGAAGGGTAATTTATTTGGGGTGAAATAACGTTTGAATTGTAGGAGACTTTAACTATAGTAAAATGGATTGCTCTAAGTTAACGGGAAAGTTAAAATTGGCTCCTTAAACAGTTCGGTCACCATGTAGATGAATCTAATTAATAATGAGGACGTAGGGAGTGATCTAGGAACCAGCGTTCATAAAGTGATAATATTCGGAATAACATGGAGAGTCTCTCAGAGGGAAAACGCCATTAGCTCCCGAGGGAGAGTGTTAGGCCGAGATTACGTCGTTACATGACCCACCAGAAGTGACCGCAAATGATCTAACATCCAGATTCACTGTGGACAGGTACCATAAAATTGTAAATATTGAGTTGCTTTAAGTCCAAGAACACTATATATATTGTATAAACAACTAAAATAAGAGTAATAATGACCCCAAATGGATGAATAATTACTTAAAGAATACTATTAGTCGGAAAAGGGTACATAAAGACGAATCAAGCAGGCTGACGTTCACCTTCATAATTATTTCACTGAGGTAACCTGAAGGGTCAAGAAGGGTATGAGGCAAGCAGAGAGAGATTATGAAGTTAAAGTGGTCACAGATGCCCAGACTAACCTAAAAGGATTATTTCAAATGTATCAAACTAAAGCCGTGACAAGACTGAACCAAACTAAACAGATTCACGACAACTAACTGATAACGAGAGGAAATGAGCAATGTTTAAATAGATTTTTAGATACGTTTTCATAAGTGAGGATTTCAATATGACCCTTGAGGTAGTTACCATTTATAATTTATAGAGACAAGTGAAGAAAATAAAGCATGTAAATAGTAGTGACTATTAACGAAATTGGCAAATAAATAGAAAAACTGAAACCTATAGTCGCCAGGTCCAGTTGAGATATTTGTTAGTTTTAAAGGAACGTTTGAAAGACGTTAGTGCACCTTTTAGCTAAAGTAATAAACCGATTTTCAAAATGGAAAATTGATCACTATCCTCCAACTAAAGCCTAATCAGTGTTCCATCAATTGTAGGAAAAATACTGAAATCACTAGTTGCAAATTCAATTCGAAATCACCATGAAAAGCACAAGTTGATTAATAACTCTCAGCATGGCTTTACCAGAGGTCATTCTTGTCTGAAAAATCTATCTTTCTTCTTTGCTAGAGTTTTCGAGTCTGTGGACGCTGGACGCCCTACTCGAGATCACATTTTTAAGTAAACGAAGCCACAAGTACAGAAAAGTGTCAGAGCTAACATCTATGGAGTGACTTGCCACACAGTGTTGGAGCACATTTAAGGCAAACCCTAACCAACATTGGATCATGTTCAGCTACATTTAAGAGCCAGTACATGACCGACCGATGCTAGTGAAGTGACAAGTGACGACGAAGAGAATAACGAGAAAGAATCTAGACAGTACAGGTGTTCACTCTGGGTCACCCGTGAAAGACCCACCGCCGCTGCTGTAGTAAAGCTCGTCCACATTATATTAGATCACAAATTATGCACACTAATTTACGAAATATAAATCAATGAAGTTTTCTCGAACACGCAGGGGACAAGTTGTGTTAAGCTGGGGTTGACGTGTGAGGCGGTGCTTCATACCAGGACCATAACTTAAGCCAAGAGGGGGAGCAGGATTAACCATTCACCTGCTTCGACTCTCCCATAAATGTTGGTTGGGAGAAAAAGTGGAATCAGCCTTAACACTCAACCATCATGACAACCCCCCTGTGCCGCCAACACACGGAGGGGGGGGGGGCAAAGGTCCATTAACTCCGGTACATACTTACGATCAGCGTCAAGGACCACGTTTTGGGACAGTTGTGATGGTACTCCGGTTACTTTTCAGAGACGTCCACGACTTCTACCCCACTAAAGGGACGATAAATATATTTTCGAGCAGACTGCAGGCATAAAACCTTTGTTGACATGTACGTACATGTCCCTCCCTCCTAGTTACCATACACATTACCGGCGGATGGTGACCACGTGTCTCATTACTAGTTTCTATACACAAACTAGAAGCCTTAAGTAACACATGCTTAGATATGGCAGGAGTCTACTTACCCATGAAGGCGGAGGGGATGGAAGTGAGGAACAGTTTCTGGCTTCTGATGGGTACCCCAGTCTCCGGGTCCTGCATCTCTCTCACTAGTGCCTCCATCTGTGGGCGAACAAAAACACTCGTCACAAAACATTGACTTCCTCCGACTGTGATGGTGCTAAACATACTCCACTGCTGTGTATGAACTCTCATGTTTAACACAGCCACGTTAGTAAGTTAATAAATAATGGTTAGACAGATACACGAGTGATAATGGTTGGGTGTAACAGCAGCTGCCTCGCCTGGGTCAACATACTGCTGTAGTGACCTTTACTGCTGTGTTCCTATGTCAACACCACTTTGCCACATACAGCAGTCGAACCCACACCAATGGCTACAAGTCTTATGAAATTAATCTAAACAACATCTAAAAAACAGACATTTATCACACAATACGTCACCCACTTCACTGGCGCACACACAAACCTAACCTAACCTAACACAAACTTAACTTAAACAACCTTAACCTAAGCAGCCATAACCGAACATATTCAAACACAAACCTAACTTAACCTAACCTTCAGACATGGACAATTATCGATGAAGTAACTGCAACACTAACACATTAACGAGTGAGAAATGTGCAATAACACCACTTTGTCTCTTGCAACATTCTCATAACCTGCAGCCACCGGAGGAAGGCAAGGGGGCAGTGTCCTCGCCTGGCTGACAATATACCTGGCCAGACTCAACCATTAAGTTCCTTTCGACTTATTATCAATATTGCATTCACTACAATAATCATCCTCGGATTATTTTCATAAGCAAATTATATCCTAAAAAGTATAAAATTAAATACAAAGTAGATAATTAATTCATAAAAAAAACTTGCAAAATTAAAAGACTTGATTTTTATTATTAGTTTGAAAAATAAATATCACATATATACGGAATATATTTTATGAAAACCGTAAATACCTGTAGTTATATTATTGGAACCTGTGAAGAAACATATTGTACACCTACACAAAGATAACACACACACACACACACACACACACACACACACACACCTCCCATTAAACTACAAAACCATTTCATACAAACAAGGTAAAAAAAAAAAACTACAAAAGAAAATATTATCACAAATATATAATACTAAAAATCAACCTAAATTTGTTCTATAAACCTTAAATGTGAGAACAAATTACGTAGAAACAATTAAAGATGGTAATGCAAGATACAGAAGAAATGAACAAAAACAATGTATCACGCTTCTGTGTTCATTATGTATGGTGAATGATAAGTTGGGTTTACATTAAGTTATTCAAGAGAGAGAGTTGTGAGTTAAGACTATCATCATCCTACAGGTGTTGTGAGTTACGACACCTACACAGGAGAGAGTATCCTCCTCGCCCTTCATCACCGAAGTCTTGACCACATCCTTTTGCTGCCGGGGTAGAGGCCTGACCCGCCTAGCCCTTATACCGGCGCCAGTCCCCATGCTGGGTCAGGTCAGAGAGAGAGGCAGGAAGGGGGTATAAGGGGGTATAAGGGGGTATAAGGTTCCTCGGGTTGCACTAGACTCACTGATCATTAGGAGTATCAGTGGCAAGTGTCAGCCGCCATCACACTCCAGATAGTTTTGTAAGCAGTTTTATGTTGACGGTTCCTCATACACCCTCCCTACATCCTCTCCAGCCCGCACCTAAGTCCTACACTCGTGCTGACGGTTTCTGATGATTTCTTGTGTCCGTCAGCAAGTACCAGAGTTGTTCCAGGACGCAGTCGTTATAGTCCTACACTCGAGTCGTTCCTGAGCTTGGTACTACCCTGAGACACACTGTGGAGCACCTGAAGATTAGACCTCCTGACTTATTCCACCTTATGATTAACTGCCCTAAAACAAACTTAAACCCTAAATTAACTTTAGTATGGTTAATCTTATGATATAGGAAGGTTGGGTGAGGGGGGGCGGGGGGTTAATCTTCACGTGATTCCTAACTCGTTGGGATGAAAAACATAAATGTGGACTATCTTTGTCCCGGAACTCGTACAACATAAGAGGAAGACCCGAGTGACCCAGGAATATATCAAGTCTCCCCAGCTGAGTGTTGCCCCTCGTCACTCATCTCTCCAACATACACCACAAACCACTGACGACTGACTAACTTTCAAAATGCTTATACAAAGAGAATTTCACTTGATATCTATTTTCAATTCTTCTTTGAGTAAGTGAACTTTGTTTATCTTTAAAATACCACCAAATAATATGGCACCATAACTCAAGGTGCATCACCACACACCGCTGAGCTACACGTAAACAACTATAATAAATTCTAATATTCTTCTTTAATAGATACAAATAACTTAATTCTTAAAACATAAAATTGGCAGATAAAATACAATACAAAACTTAGGATTCCTTTATATTCATGCTTCTCATTTCTCACCAAAGATAAAAGATCAGTGAAGTCAGACAAACATGTTCCAACACCATTAGTGGATGTTGGTGCAAAATAATGAGAGTTTCAGATACTCTTCTAAGGAAGGGAGTTGGGAAATTTTGCAAACGAATATTGGTCATTGTCAGAGATCTGGTTCTTAGTCGTGTTTAAATATAAATGAAGAACTTGTCAATAAATCAGCTTTATAAACCAACAATTAAACAATTATAATAAAGATGAGGTGTTTGAAAAGTCTTACGGAGACTCAAAAATGTATATATAATATGCAAAGTTTAATAGATATTCAATTACGAGTATAATGGACGATTTCAGTGTAAAGTTTGGTAAGGAGGACCGCCTGAGTTGGGTAATAAAAAGAGAAGGAACGATTAATTAATTCTTTTATACATAAATTGATAAAATTCATTAACGAGGTTCGAGTAACACCTGAGGTCACCCCGGGATGTTGAGAAGACCAGTACCAGGAACCAAGACATATAACATTTTACTTAAAAACAAAAACAAATTCAAGACCTTGGTTAGTGAAATTAATATCTCACCCAGATGGTTAAGTGACGTTATAATATTCACAAAAGAAAAGTGAAAAGAGGCGACGAATATGGGGTTTGAATTAATGGTTTAAAGAGAGAAGTTAGTAGTGAACGAAGAATGATTTATTCAGATAATATCAACAAGACTGAGAAAGATTGAAGCGTAATGATAAGTAGGGATCTTAAACCGTGTAAACAATGTGTATTTGCTCGAAACAAGGGTAATAAAGTACTTGGGTTCATACAAAGGAGTGTTATTTACAAGATTAGCGAGGTCATCCTCAAACTATATCTTGCGCTTGTGAGATCTCACTTGGATTACGTGGTTCAGTTCTGGTCACCGCACTACAGAATGGATATAGAATCTCTTGAAAGAATTCAGAGGAGAATGACGTGACTTATCCCGGGCATTAGGAACCTTGAGTACAGAGACAGGTTAAAGCATCTTCATTTGCACTCCCTCGAGAGACGTAGAGTGAGGGGCGATATGGTCGAGGTATATAAATGGAAGTCAGGGTTAAACAAAGGTGATAATAACAAAGGTACTCAAACTATCCAACCAGGAGCGAACTCGTAGCAATGGTATTAAATTAGACAAATTTAGATTTAGGCGCGAAATAGGTAAACATTGGTTTGGAAATAGAGTAGTGGATGAGTGGAACAAGTTACCAAACATCATCAATAACTCAAATACACTGGATGGCTTCAAACATAGGTTGGATGGATATATGAGCAATAGGAGTTGGGTGTAAATGGGACTGCCCAGTATGGACCAATAGGCCCGCTGCAGTTTCCTCCATTATTATGTGTCTCAGTGTTTTTGTTTTTGTTTTTCAAGTTAAATGTAACAAACAAACAGACATCAATATATTAAGCCTTTATATGTGCTGGTGATTCTTGGAGGAGGTGACAAAGGAGACCTGAGTGACGGGGATAAACACACACACACACATCAGCTTCATGAAGGAGGTCCTCACATCCTGTAGGAGCTCCGTGAAGAAAACAAATCACCTGAAGATTAGCCCCTAGTTTTTTCACCTCAAGATTAACCACCTTAATGATAACCTAACCTAACCTAACCTTAATGATAACCTAACCTAACCTAACCTTAATGATAACCCAACCAAACCTACCCTAACCTAACCTAACCTAATCTAACCTAACCTAACCTAACCTAACCTAACCTAACCTAAGCTTAATGACAACCCAACCAAACCTACCCTAACCTAACCTAATCTAACCCCTCCAGATAACGCTAAGTCAGATAAACTTCAGGAGAATTAAGCTGGAGTTCCTAATCTTCAGGTGATAAAAATCCGATTTCTAATTACTTGACTGCAGCGTCATAAATACTGGAGTTATCATCATCGTGTGGCGCCTCTCTTACAACACACTAAGAAACACATTAGTGAACATTAATATTCTGGAGGAGTATCGGACAACCCACCACACATGAGAGCAAAATATCTCTCTTCGCCGATTTTACTTTTTTTATTGAAACAAGGATTTTTTAATTTAAAGAAATCGTATGACGTACAAGGCAGTTGAACACTCTAGGACTAAAATCATGGACCTCTGTCAATAAGGAAAATTATAAGTTAAAAATATAAGATATAGATAAAATGAGTAGCTTAATAATTTTAAAAATCTAAATTAAAATAAGATAAAATACTTCTTAAAAAATCACATGCGGTTTAAAAAAATTTAATCATTGCGGCTGTTCACGGCTTCAGTCCTGGAGTGTACGACATGTACCGAGTCACCTGTGAGGCGAGGAACATGACGCAAGAAGGCAGCTGTAAATCTGAAATGTTCACTTAACACTTTGAACAAATATCTTTCACGATAAACGTAGAGTGCATTGTATACACGTGTGAGTTTCGGCTGTAATCTCTAAAAATTTACTCTCAGATTGGAAAAAATGAAACATACCGGACACATCATTATGGTAAACAAGAAGATATTCAATATCTCTGTCATGTATATTTCTGAAGTGTTATCTGGTGAACAACTTGAACAATACATCAGCGACACAGTCATGGCGTGAGGCTCTGGTCTACAAGGAGGCACCGTGGCCTGCACTACAGTAGACCGCCTTCACTTCCCCAACTGTAAAGTTAGG